TTAGTGGTTAAGAGCAACCACTGCTCTTACAGAGGCACTAAGATCAGCTCCCAGCACCTACACCAGGAGCTGCCTCTGTCCAGGGTATGTGACATACTCTTCTGGTCTCTCTAGGCACCTGCATGCATGTAGTATACCGACAGTCATGCACATACATAAACACATGAAAAAAAATTAACAATAATTTTTAAGTGTTGGACTTAAAATGTAAATAACTGTAATTTATAAACATAAAATTATTACACAGAAAAACTTGCCATTTCATTTCTACCTATCACTCATTAAATATCTTATAATTTCTCTATAAAATAAACCTACCATCTTCATATTAAGACATTCTACCCATTGTAATGAATAATTAACCACAGACAGCTATTGCATGATCACATTTACTACATACTAAGATCTCATGCATAAAATCCTACACAGGTGCCATAACATGAACTAAGAAGCATAACTGATACACTGTTATGGGTGGTTGGGCTCAGAATGGGGTGTTGCTGTGTGCTTGGCCTCTTGTTAAGGGAATTGAAATAAAATCCCATATTGATTCGTGAAAGCAGCAAGAAAACCGAGTAAAGCAAAGCAGTGGAGAAGATCTGTGTAGACAAAGAGAATGGGCCACATGAGTGAAGAAACTCAAGGCTCACCTGCTGTTTGGGGCTTCCTTCCGTGGGGTTCAAACAAAGAAGTTTGGTGTTGGGGGAGTAGTTTGGGTGTTCCTATATTTTGGTTGGTATATTAGGTCATTTCTGTACTGCCCATATCCCTTCCCATAATGTATCTGATTTTAATAATATACATATCTAAGTATGCAGAGGCAGAATATGCTAGATAAGGGATTCTCCCTGAGAGTTCACTTGGAGACACGGCTTTGTCTTATTGTGCATCACCCCCAAATAGTGCAGCCTGATCAGCCTTTCTGATCACCTACCAGAACATATGGAGAACATGAGTGAATAGAATCTGTTCTTAAGGGAGAAGAAACTTACCCCATCTTCAGCAAGAGGTGTGCTTGTAGACCGGTACAGGTGGGGCTGAAGTTGCTAGATACTTGTTTAGAGAGGGGTGTGTGAGCACAGTATGTGCAGGTAGAAGAACTGTGCTTCCACGGGCACTGCTAGAAAGGGGGAGGGTTGTGCCTGACCCAGACTAAGTAGAGTCCCAATTATTAAACTGCTCCTTATGCTAATTGCCTCATAACCATTCATAAAACTCTTTTTCTACAAAACTTAGAATTTATATACTTAAAGTAACATACTTTCAAATTCAATTAGTTTATTTATTTTCATTTTTTTCTGTATTTCATACATAACATCTTAGTCATCTTCATACCATCCCCACTGGCACCCTCCCATACCCCCCCACTGGAATTCACACATTCTGTCCTTTGTGTTAGGATCTATTGTGTCAAGTTACTGTCCCATACATTCCTCAGTGTAAGTTCATCTACTGAGGTCTAGTCAGCCTATCTAGTCTAGAGCTGTCAGCCCCACCCAAACATGGACATGAATGGGGAATGGCTAAACAAACCACTCAGTGGGTGATGGGTGTTTTCACTGGGTGCAAAAGTTCAGGATGCACTGACAACAGAGTCAGTGATCAAAACAGATGTCTGTCCTCAGTTAAGTCATAATTCACATCCAGTGGAAATCCATTTGTTTCAATGTAAATGCTATTTCACACTCATTTCATTCCATATAGCTGTTTTTTAAAGGTGTATTTTTTTTAAATTATGTGTCTGCACTTATCTGCATGTGTTATGTGAATATGTCTGCAGATGTCTGTGGAGGCCTGAAGAGGGAATTCGATCCTCTGGTGTTGGAGTTAAAGGTGATTGTTAAGCCCCCATGTGGGGACCTAACTTGATTCCCTTTCTTGAGCAGTATATGCTCTTAATCACTGAGTCATCTCTCCAGCCCCTCCATATGGATTTTACTCTACCCCTGTGTCCTACATGAGATGAGAGATCAAATGTTTACTTAATTCACTTTTCTTTACATCATTTTTTCTTTCTCTTAAAACCATATTTCTCATTTCTTAGAACCAGCAAATATCAGTTGAAGACAGAGGTAAATGGCTTCTAGACATAGGAATAGAAGGCAAATCAGATTTTCTATTTTGCAAGAGTGAGAGATGGCTGAAACCGGCTGGAATATGCACATTTTGAAATTCAGAAGATTGTGGGAGTGTAAGGTTAAGCTTCATGAAAGAACTGTAAAATATCATGGGAAAAGTAATAAGTTCTATATTTATCACTTAGATTTCAAAATGTTTAAGGTATTAGCAAGTAGATTTAATTTTAATTTCATCATGGGGTTGTGATTCTTTAGCCTCGTCCTGTACATCAGCCATTTTCCCAGCCCCTGTTAATTTAGGAGGCAGTTTAACCCCCAACCTCTGCTGGACTTGTGTTTTGTGTACTCTCACCTCATGGATTTGGGGCACAAAGTCAGGGGGTTGGATGGGATTTAATAGTTTAGCTGTCAAGTTGTCATCTGAATCTCTATTAAGTACCACACTGTGAACTGCAGCAGCATGCATATACTGCAAATTATTGTGAGAATTTGAAAGAAATGAATTGGGTTTTCAGGTTCAAGCAGGATGGTGTTGATTAGGTACTCAAAGGTGTCATGTCCGCCCCACTGTCTAATCTTGGATTACTGATAATTTCTTCAAATAAGGATTTGTGCAAAATTATGTTGATTTTAACCCATTATCTTATTGTTCAGAACGAAGAGACTGAAAGGATCATATAAAACTGTTCGTTTCTCCTGAACATAGACTTTATTTGTGAAACTTCTCATCTGCTGCTAGTTTCTGAGGAGCTGGTTGTAGTGCTCAGTGTTAGCTTGTCTGTGGTCGGCTGGCTGCAGTTTTAGGGGTGTTTCTGCTCCCTGTGCTCTGCATCCCTGTTTCATATTTACAACATTTCCCAGATGGGCTCTTTTCTCATCTTAATTATCATCCATCAGCCCTGCCTCCCTTTGAACCTCATTTATGAAAATGTTAAATAAGACTGGCCATAATACCTACATCCCCAAAGCACACTCCCCAACTCCTCTTTTTAACTGGATGCACTGCCATTTATCATTAAATCCCTTTAGCCAATTTAATTCCCAGGAAGAATGTTAATACTGAATCCAATTTGAGCTAAATTTTAATTGAGATTTCCTAAGACATTTTGTGTAAATGATTTACTGTAATCAAAACTGATATCTCCTCTCCAACCCCTAACCACTGATGTTCTAATTTTATCTATACAAATGATCAGAATTTGTGTGATGGGAACAGTTCTCCCCAAATATATATCATTCATATGACTGTTTCCACAAATACTTTCCTTCTCCTTTGCCAGAAGGTCTATATCTGTCATGCCTACAAGTCTCAAAATCTTTTCAGAAAATATCTTTCCTTGTGGCAGTCACATCTGTCTACCTCAAATACCAACCTCTGGACTCAAAATCCTGAGCTTATCTCTCATTTTCCTTTTGTCTTCTCTATATTTGTTGTTGCTATTTCTGTGCTCATTATCTCTGTAAGTGCAGTGGATAATTAAAATAGAATTATAGGACCAGCAAGATGGCTCATGGGTAAAGGCACTTGCTGCCAAGGTTGACAATCTGAATTTGATCTCAGAACCCATGTGGTGGAAGGAAAGAAACTGAACCAGCCCCTGAAAACTGTCCCTGATCTCCACAAGAGCACTATGGCATGTGTGTACGCACATATACACACATTAAATAAATAAATGTAAAAATGTAAGATTAGAATATGCACCACCCGTCCTTAGTCATGGACGGGTACATGAAGAATTGGTTTGCATTTTGGGGGAATATTAAATGTGTACCTCTAACTGAACCCTTCATTAATACTGTCTCTCAAAATGAGTTGAAGTTTTAAGGTAAATGTGCACATTCACATTTTCTCAAACAATATGCAGCATAATTCACTAAAGCCCCAAAGGGTTCTGAACTTTGAAGAATTAGGACTTTGTAGACATGAAGGGTAAGAATTAGCAATATGTATGGAAAGATAAAATGGGATTCACATGGGTTAACTCCTTACAGGCATGCACTTTCTTTACTCAGAAGCAAACCTTGGCTCTCACTAATGGGTAGGGTGAGGATACTTTCTAACCCTCTCCACAGACAATTCTGAAGCAGTGAAAAGAGGATTTTGCTAATGCTGTGAAATGCATGCCTTCCTACTGATTCATTGTGCTTTATTTTCCTGTTGTGAATGTTTATCCATCCAGAAGTTAGGGAACCTTATTTAACACAATGAAACCAATATCTGTTTTTTGTAGCTTTATGGAATTAACAATAATTTTTCTCTCACAGATTATAGACACAGTTGCCTGAAAGTGATTTTGAGCTGTGTACATATCTGATATACACATGCTTATGTGGTATCATCTCAGAGACTCTGCATGCATTCCCTTTTCTTAGAAGGAAATTATTTATTGTACTATGGACCTTATCAGTTTATCATAAGCCAGTGGGGAAAGGTTGTGAGGCGGGGAACCACTGTGAACGGAAACTCTGAAAACCTGGGGACAATGACAGGGATAAAGCGAGCGTTGCCATCTGCAATTTTCCTGGCCTCAGACCTCAGTGATATGTGTTCACGTGTAAAGACCAGGAGATAAGGTAGATAAAAAACAGGTTTCCTATAAGGATATTGGATTTTCTGTTAAGATGTTCACTTTTTATTACATTAGAATAAAGTTGATCTTCAAGATCCCAAAACTTTGTTCCTTAACATAATAAGGTCACAAGAAAAAACAAAAACAGCAAATTCTTGACCCTGCTGTGATCTGTTCAGTGCTTCAGTAGAACACAGAAGGTTGGGATTAAGAAAACAATAGATACATATATACACACCAAGAACTACAGGAGGAATTCATCTTTGAAAGCAGTAGTTTGTGTTTGAGGGAAGTGGCACAGCTCTGAAAAGCTGAATCCCAACAAAATTTGTGTTACAATTTTCAATTTCAGTTGACTGCAGTCGATGCTGATGAAGGCTCAAATGGGGAGGTCTCCTACGAAATCCTTATGGGGGCCCAGGGAGACTTCGTGATCAACAGGACCACAGGGCTGGTGAGCATCGCGCCAGGGGTGGAACTGGTCGTGGGGAGGACGTACGCTCTCACAGTACAGGCCTCAGACAACGCCCCACCTGCGGAGAGAAGGTAATTCCACATCAGATCCCTAGTTACTCTAGTGGAAAATTATTATATTTATTTACAATCAATATTAAAGATGTTGATTGCAAGAACAAAGATATCTTTTATTTTCATTTAAATTTTCATTAAAAGCTTTAAATATTTAATTTATTTTATATTTAACTGTTTCCTTCAAAGTAGTGTTGTGCCAATTTTATTACACATGAATTAGGAGTTTGTGGATTGCAGTACTACCCCCTCTTATTTTTGGATGATATGCAACAAGAACTCCAGTGAACTAGTGAAACCTCAGTCACAAAGTTTACTGCTGATGTTTTTATTTATATGATACAAACCGCATCCATCCGTGCTGTTTTCTTACTATATACATACATTACAATAAAGCTTAATATCTGAGTGAGGCTCAGTAAGACAGTAACGATGATGAAATGGAGTAAGTGCAGCAATATTCTAGGGAAAATTCTCAGCAGCCCTATGGCCATTATTATGTAAAATAAGAGTTATTTGAACACAGGGGCCCTGCAAGGGTGAGTGATAACTGCGCAGATGCCATTACATGAATGAAGAGAGGGTGCTGCTTGGGCAGAGCGATTACCCAGGGGAACGGGTGAGTGGTGTCCAGGCAGGAAAAGAGGAAAGATGCAAGACGTCATTGTGCTCCTCAGAAGAGCCTGCGATTTAAAGCTCTGGACTTGTTTCTTCCGAATGTTTCTTTTAGTATTTGGGGGCTGCAGTTGACCACAAGTAACTAAAACTTCAAGCAAACCTCTGGTGGTGATTGCTATCTTATTTAATGAATAAGTGTTAAGAATCCTCAGCCTGTTCATTTCCTAATGCAGATTCCTCTGCTAAGCAAGCTGCTGTGCACAATGATTAGCACAGTAAAGGGCTTTTACTTGAGAGAAATGCATTCCACTCCAGGAAACAAAGCCTCATACTTAGAATGAGGGCCAAGTCTTCCCAGTGGCAGAGGGTTCATGGTTCCTCACTGCACTGTTGTTTTTACTTAAAGACAATGGGTTGGATGCTAAAAGATCATTTTATAATCTGTGGTCAAACGTCAGTTGGGGCCTGCATAGACTAAAACCCACACACCTTCTTTCTACCTGCCTAGGTAATGTCATGTTATCCACAGGATAATGATACTTGCTGTGTTCTACAGGGAAATTAATCCTTCAAATCAAGTTGATGAGTGAATTGAAGAGTCCTGAGGTTTTGCTTTTAGTATTTCCTTCAGGAGGAAGATGCTATTTAAAATTTACCAAAATAAAAGCATATATTATGTGTTGTAGAATGACACACCCAGCAGCAGTGGAATATTAGCATGATTAACATTAACAGTGACAAGCAGAATCAGGGGCATTTTCCATATTATTTTTTGAGTTTGGCAACTTCGGTTCATAAATTTAAAGAATATTGACTCACAAAGCCAGTTTAAAATGATTATGTATCAGTTATGACATTTCAGTAATGTGTCTTCAGGCTCAGAATGACAGGAGAAAGGGTCCATGGTTAGATTCTTGTTTGTTTGGGGCTTTGCTAAGATCAAATATACAGACAAAAGTCAAAGGCTTAAAAACGTCATAAGATTTTTTAAGATCTTATTTACTCTAGTGGTATATGTTAGTTATCTCATACTTAGTTAATTAACGAGTAAATATTTATTTAATCCTTGCATGAGTATAGTACTTCTGCTATACATGAAAGCTCCCCCTGTCCCCAGCAGCTTTAGTAAAGTTATCATAAAATGACTGACATTCCTGTTTATGTCATGGAACCCAAGGCTGTATTTAATTAGTCACAATTAAATGGTATACTCTCCAATAGAAAATTTCCCATTGTGAATATATACTCTTTCAAAAGACTGTACACACTGAGAGAGACATAATGAATATTCATCTGTGATAATCAAACTGGTGTCCTAAAATTCTTTGTCTGGGGGCAGTGTGGGAAGACTTGGCATCCTATCCATGACCCGCTTTAGTGAACATACCCCATTGTCAAGGTGGGGTTCAAACCACAGGTGTTGTCTGGTTCCTGTATTTCTAGCTTCAATACCTCCCCTGGACAAGTTTACCCCTTGTCCTTATAGAAAACTTACAGTGTTTTGGTTTATTGCTTTGTAAATTTGCACAAGCGTTTCCTCTGCTGGTCATAACCTGTGTGTTTGTAAGTGACTATGTCTTTCATCTTAAACTTCTGCCCCCTAAATGTCCCCTATGTTGGATTGAAATATGAAGTTTCTGCTCCTATAGAGATCTGCATGTTCCTCCAAATGCTATGCTATTGTGATTTATTCCAAACAGAATCTATGATCCAAAACTATAACCATAGCTTTGGTAGTTTATTATTGGAGGGAGACAAAAGAGAAACAGCTGTTGTTATTCTATTTTAATTATTCCAGGTGTCAACACAAAATCACAACTCTCACTCAAAGGGGATAAGACATACTTTATTATGGAGCCAAATATGAGTGACCATGGCCAGGAATACATATTTAGGTTACCCAAAATTCCACGTTCCAATGTGGTAACAATTTCATGAAGTTTTTATACAAACAGATCAAGGAAAAGTCATAAACGAAAACACTTTTTAAATGCATTGGTGGAAACAGTACGTACGTGGTCACAACAAAAGAAAAATCTCAGCTGTAGGCCTCAGATATTATCTGATGGCACTCAGCCTTTTGGTTGGTGGAAGCTGGTGGTCTGCTAGGTTAATAAATTCCAAAACGTTTTTTATCTGTTAGTCACAGAATGCTAAATCAGAAACAAAGGTGGGCAATGAGTGACTATTTAGGGGCCTGGTAATTAGACTCTCAACCTGCAACATCCCAAACTCTCTGCAATCACTCAAGTTCCAATCAAGTGATCAGTCTTCTAGAATTTTCAGCTTTTTTTTTTAAATTTATATATTATTTTCATTTTACGTGTATGAGTGTATTGCCTGCATGTAAGTACATCTGTGTCGTGCAATGCCCATAGAGGTCAGAAAAGGGCTTGGGCTCCCTTGGAACTGGCATTATGAAAGGTTGTTAGTTGCCATATGGGTGCTGGAAAATGAACCAGGGTCCACTGCAAGAGCAGCCAGTGCTCTTAACCATAGAACCATCTCTTTAGCCCCAAGTGTTCAGTTTTAAGATAAATTTTTTTCTGGGAACTTTTGTTCACATGGGGAGAATAATGTGACTACTAATCACTGTTGTGATGGAAACAAATAGGAATATAAAATACACTATCAAGTTATAGGACATGTTGATATTTTCTCATTATTTATTATTATAGCATCGGAAAGTTACACTGATTTACCTTTTATAATTACAAGCTTTCCAAATTTAAAGTACCTTAGGTCTTTCCAGATCTTCTTGATTCATTTTTTTCTCTTAGAATTAATGTCATCAA